ATTTTTTACTCCACTTCTTGGGTTGAAATGGAATGATGACATACATGGTGCAGCATTTCAACTCTTTTAGTGGTAACTGGAAAAACTCTATTCCTTCAAGGCAGGTAAAAACTATTTTCAATATTTTATACAGTTCTATCCAACTTTTCCCCTGCTACCTGGTTCTTTATTTTTTCCCCTTTCTCTTACTTTCTATAACTAGGCCTTGGGTATAGTTGGCTCTTTGGGGCATACAGTTCACCCTTGAACAACATGGGGGTTAGGGGTGCTGACCCCTTGCACAGTTGAAAATCTGCATATAATGTTGAATCCCTCACAACCTGACTACTAATAGCCTGCTGTTGACTGGGAGCCTTGCCGATAACATAAACAGTCAATTAATTCATGTTTTGTATAGGTATTATATACAGTATCCTTACAATAAAGTAAGCCAGAGAAAATAAATGATATTGAGAAAATCATAAGAGAAAAAAACATTTACAGTACTGTACTGTATTTACTGAAAAAAAAAAATCTGTGTGAAGTGGACCCACTTTACGTTTAGTTTAGTTCAAACCTGTATTATTCAAGGGTCAACTGTAGCTGATGGATATGTCTGCATTACAAGATTAAAGCATAGAAGAAATTCCATTATAAGATAGTGAATCATGAAGTAATGTATGAATATAGTTCATGCTGAAGGTTGTTGCTCATCATTTAATGACACCACACCTTAATGGAATCAGGTGATTATTGGTATCATTTGTTAAATAAAGCTACCTCATAAGTTTGCTAATTTACAACCAAGAGAATTTCTAGCATTCTTCATTATTCTAAGAAAGGTAGTTAAGAAGACACTTTCTAGCATTCAGTATTCTTTGAAGATAGATTAACAAGGTAGAAATACATAAACCATCTTTTTTCAGAAAATTGCAGTGACTCAGAAATCTGTCAGTGCACTAAGCTTCCTGGACTGACATGAAGATGGTTTCATAAGTGTCTAGGGATGTCAATAACCTAGATCAAAAGAATGGGATTCCTTGAATTATGAAAAGATGAGTCCTTTTATATCATGATGATATCATTGGTGTGGAGCTTGAATGAAAATGAGGGTCTAACTCATTTGGGAAAAGTGATCTTGAAAGAGGTGAACTATTATAAAGTTGAAGAAATTTTATCATATTTATGGGTTAATTGTAGTTTTTTATTCATCATTCATTTTCCCACAAGATAATAGTCTTGACAATCTTTCTGCTTAATATTAACCACCCACAATGTGTTAGGTCTTGGTGAGAGCATTCAAAATACGATCCCTAACATAAGGAGCTCACATCCCAAGACTCACTTTAAAACCTTCCTCTTCCGTACCCCCCTGGATCTCTTTAACCTGTTCACACTGGATTTCAAAAATCTTCAAGTCTGTTCTACTTACATAATCACTATCATATTTCAGAAACATTCTGGTTGACATTGACTAGGTATACTTAACCCCCTTCATACTTCATCTTCCTTATACATGTGGACCTATTTTATCTACTTTACTGTGTGTGTAAGTAATCACTACACCCAGCGTGGGGCTCAAACTCACCACTCTGAAGTCAAGAGTCAGCATGCTCTACCCACTGAACCAGCCAGGCTCCCCTATTGTTTTTTGTTTTAAAGATTTTATTTACTTATTTGACAGAGAGAGATAGCGAGAGCAGGAACGCAAGCAGGGGGAGTGGGAGAGGGAGAAGCCCGCTTCCCGCTGAGCAGGGAGCCCAATGCGGGGCTCGATCCCAGGACCCTGGGATCATGACCTGAGCTGAAGGCAGATACTTAACGACTGAGCTACCCAGGTGCCCCACCTCTACTGTGTTTTTCATCTTCTTTCTTCTTTTTTCCATAATAGGTATGTGAATCTCTTAAACTGGTCATTTAAGAAAACTTGATATGTTATTTGGTAAAAACTGCCAACATGTGAGTTTGAATCCTTACTCTGCCACTTATTTGAAAAATGACCCTTAGCAAGTCCCATAATCTTGCTTAACTCAGTTTCCTCATCTATAAAGTGATAAACCTAGGATATTTATCTCCTAAGGCTGTGAGGATTAAAAATGTGAAGTAGGTGGTCCACAGTAAAAGCCCCAAAATGTTCTCTTTCTCTTTTGGTAGATTAAGAAAAAATAAGAAATATGGTTATCAAGGTGTATTTTTAAAAAAGTAGGGAAGATGGGGGCGCCTGGGTGGCTCAGTTGGTTAAGTGACTGCCTTCGGCTCAGGTCATGATCCTGGAGTCCCAGGATCGAGTCCCGCATCGGGCTCTCTGCTCGGCGGGGAGTCTGCTTCTCCCTCTGACCCTCCTCCCTCTCATGCTCTCTGTCTCTCATTCTCTCTCTCGAATAAATAAATAAAATCTTTAAAAAAAAAAAAAAGTAGGGAAGATGAAGTATGAAGGGGGTTAAGTATACCTAGTCAATGTCAACCAGAATGTTTCTGAAATATGATAGTGATTATGTAAGTAGAACAGACTTGAAGATTTTTGAAATCCAGTGTGAACAGGTTAAAGAGATCCAGGGGGATACGGAAGAGGAAGGTCACAATCATAGCAACAAAGGTTATGTCAAAGAGACGTGGATTTAGGTGTAACTATAAAAAATCGCCACCTTTTTAGATGAAAATGGTTGAATATTGGCAGTTTCATATGGTCCACTTAACAGATACTCAGGAGGGAAGAAAAGCAGAAAGGGCAGTCCTTCAGGTGTGGTGCAGTTAACCAGGGTTGTCGCTATTTTTAATACAGAATGGCTAGGCTCTTGCAGATGTGAATCAAGCATTATTTAGTAGCCTCTTCTCTTTGTAGAGAAAAAAGGGGTTGAAGAAGGTTGAAAAGTCATGCCATTGGGTGTAGAAGTCTTTTAGGCCCTTTGACATTCATGTTTCCAAAGGATTTAAGAAAACTTTACAAAAACACATCGGAAATAAAAAAAAATGTGAGAAAACTGAGGAGAAGGGAAAATACAGTTAACACCCAGATCTCCTACTGTGATGTCAACAGTGGCTAGCACAGAGCTTCCTTCATGAAATCATCTTTGGAAAGGAGAAAGTATAAATGATATCCGGCATGGTGCTTCCCTTCCTGAGAGGCAACTGCAGTTCTGGATTCTTATGTAATGTGCCAGTAGTTGCCACTGAGTCTGCCTTCGACTGAGAAAACAGCTATCTTTTAATTAACACAAGCTGTACTTCAAGATTTGACTACAGTACTGGAAATAACTAAGAAAAGGTGTTCTGTCCAGAGGCTATCTTCATCTTTAGCCTCAAGATCTTGCATGACAATCACTCTTTTAAGTGGGGTCTGAGAGGGTCCTCTGAATCTGATTCGTAGTAGTAATACTTTTGGTATATGTATCTCTTAAAAGCATTGCATTAAAAGCAGAATAGTTAGCTCTGGTAGGTTATTTTCTTTTCAGAAAGATTAGATGAAGTGTTTTTGCATCTTGTCAGAATGGTCTATGGACCAAAGCAGTTTGAAAATGATTTCTTCATTCCAATTAAGTGGTATCAATGAGGAAATAAATTCCTGTGGCCAAATACTTTGCTTTCTATGGGTGGCTGGACTAAGACTTTATAAAAGGGGCACGGAGATAGTATGTTAAGACCCATAAAACACATCGCCACTCCTGGAAAAACAGCTGAAAATGCCCGAAATCTCTCTTCTAGGGACAGAGCGATCCTCTATCCAACATATCCATGCCAGAAAAATGGTAATACTGTGCCTTCCCTTTTTCTCCCACTCGTTTTTACTTCTGTCCTCTTCAAGCCTCCCATTCCTCAGCCCCCTCCATCAGCTCATTCTATGATGCTTTAATTTTCCTTTAAAATTTAAGTGTAAAATAGTACAACATTTATACTATTTACCTTTTAAGGTTATTCTTCTATTTAAATATGAGACCGAAGTTCTTACTGTTAGGCAAGATCAACCCCATTCTTGGATCCAGAATTTCAAGCCTAGTTTTTTTGCATGTTTATGGATTTTAGGTCATTTCCCTGGGAAGTTCTGTCTTTTGTAAAATTAAATGCCAAGTAACCACGCGATGTTTTTGATCCTATGAGCATAGATCACAAGAATTGAGATGCAAATTTATTTAGTGTCTCACAAATGGGCTAAGAATTCTTTTTAGTTAGCACACACAAAATCTAGTTCAGTTGCTTGGACTTATCAACCCCATCCCCCAGCACAACTTTATCACACAAAAGACAATAATCACAATAATTGAAACGCGAATTCTTCAGCCAGCTAATAAACAGGGTTATTGTGGACAATGTTTTCAATTCTTAAATTTAAACTTTCTTGGCAATTAGCTCTAAAGGTAATCAGCAAAAATGTCTCTTAGTTGGCAAAACACACACACACACACACAGCCTGAGCATTCCTCCCGGATGACAGCAAGATATCAAGGATGAAAAGGGCAAAGGAGTGTTAAATATGTGAAACGAGATTTTAAATTAAAGAATAAGTAAAACGTTACAAGAAAAAAATAACTTAGCTGAGAATCACTATTTAAAAAATGTTAGCAATTGTTGATGGGCTTTTTCAGATGTTGACTTGTTACCAAGACGATCAAGAACCCGGGAATAATATATGTTTGAGCAGCAAAATGATCGAGTGGATTAAAAAAAAATTCTGCCCTTTGAATATACGTATTAAATGAAATATAAGTGCCCGCTTTGGTGCCACTGGCCAGAATGAAAGCTCTCCTCCAGTAAGCGAGGTGAACTGAGATTTTTGTTTTAAATGCCTGCCTCCAGGGTACGTACAAGTGGGAGACGGGTTGGAAACCTGGGGCTAAGGGGGATGGGAACGAGATGGCTCTGACTGTGAATCTAAGAGCTGAATGTGTGAGACAGAAAATCCTCCTCCAGCCTCGGAGGGGGTGTCTCCCCCAATACCAGCTCCCTCCCCCCCGGGCTCGTGGGGCGGGTCTGGTTTGCTTAGAAGCTGCAGCGGCCGTAGCAGCAGCCCCGGGGCTGAGCGGCGGCGGCCTCCTGGCAGCGCAGGGAAGCGGCGGCTCCGAGAGCGTGAGGCCCTGGGGAGATCCGGCGGAGGCTGCCGTCGGGATGGAGAAAGCGTCGAGTGGAACCGGAGCCGCCGGGGATGGATTTCCTCCCCAGCCCAGCTCCCTACAGCTTGGCTGGGCCTGCTCCAAGCACCTGCGAGGTGGAAGAGGCCTGCGTCTAGGGCCTGACAGCTGCAGCCGGCGAACGAGGCGGGCACAGCGGGGTAACAGTTGAGCCGTAGCCGCTCTCGGGAACCTACGCCGCCACGGCCGCTTATTGTCTCTCCCCTTCCACCCGGGGGCAAACAGGAAGCGCGCCGGCTGGCCGAGCGACGGACGGGTATTCGGGCCAATGAGCATTGGCGACGGAGAGCGTGGTGGCGAATGAGCGCGGAGAAGAGAGGCGGGACTTCCGGGCGGGCTGTCACCCTCTTCCCCCCTTTTGGGCTGGAGGCTCCACCTTTTGTGTTTCCCGCACAGTCAATCAAAATAGGAAAAAAAAAATCCCCGGACCGCTCCGGCCGTGTCCGCCGCCGCTTCCCGCATCCTCTCCCGCCGCCGCCGCCTTCGCTCCTCACCATGTGTAAGGCGGCGGGGAGCCCCGCCTGAGGTGCCCTAAACACACTATGACCGGTACGTAAAGCCGAGAGAGAGCAACCCTTGCTGCCGCCGCCGCTGCCGCCGCCGCCGACCACAGCCAGCCCGGGGCCGCCGCCGCCGGCTCCCGGCCCCCTGTGTGCGACCGAGTGTCTGTGAGAGGCAGAAAGCCGCACTCCCCTCCGCCTCCCTCCCCTCCCGGCCAGCCACCGTTCACCCCTTAAGCCCCAGCAACGCCGTGTCCCTGCCGGGCCCTGGGGCGGGCGGCCCGGTCCGCCGGGAGCGCATCCCCCCGTGTGCGGGCGCGGGCGGCGGGCGGGCGTGTGTGAGTGACTGACGGTGCGAGAGGAGCGAGCGCGAGTGAGAGCGAGCGGCGCGAAGGGAAAGGGGAGGAGAGGAGAGGGGGCAGGGGCAGCGCGGGGAGGAGGAGGAGGAGGGAAAGAGGAGGAGGAGGAGGGTTACAGGCAGCGGCGGGCGGGGGCAGCAGCAGGAGGGGAGGAGGGATCCGCCGCCGCCGCCGCCGGGGGGCGGGTGGGGGAGGGGAAGGGGACTCGGTCCGGGCTTTCGGAGTAATTTCGCCTCGGCCCGCGGGCCCCCTCCCTCTCCTCCACCCGCCTTCCTCCCCACCCCCACCCCCCCGCGCTGTGCCTGCAGCTCCCGAAAAGCCCGTGAAACAAGAGGAAATGGCTGCCTTGGACGTGGACAGTGGCGGCGGCGGCAGCGGCGGCGGCCACGGCGAGTATCTGCAGCAGCAGCAGCAGCACGGAAACGGCGCGGTGGCGGCGGCGGCGGCCCAGGTGAGGAGCGGCTGAGCCCCGGCCCGGCTCCCCCCTAGCGCCGCTTTCTCCTCCCCTCGCCTCTCCCCTCCCTCCGCGGCTCTCTCCTCCCCTCCCCCCGCCCCGGGAGCTGCCCGCCCGAGGCGCCAACGCTCCGACCCCGCCCGCGCTCCCCCTCCCGCCGCCTTTTTGTGAGTGTGTGTGTGTGAGTGTGTGTGTGTGAGTGTGTGTGTGAGTGTGAGCGTGCGAGCGTGTGCACCCTCCCGGGGGTGGGTTCCGGGCGGAAGGTGGAGGCCCGGCGCGCCGCCCGCCGCCCGCCTTCCCGCGGACGGCGGAGTCGGTGTGCGTGCGAGCGGGAGGACGCGAGCCGGAGTCGAGGAGGAGGAGGAGGAGGAGGAGGAGGAGGAGAGCGCGCGGGCTGGCGCTCGCCCGGGCTCAGCCTGCGAGGACCGAGGCGCACTTCCTGGGCGAGCGGCGGCCCGGCCCTAACCGCCACCCCCTCCCCCTGTCTCCCTCTCTGAACCCGCCCATCGGGGGTAGGACACTCAGCCGTCACCGCTCGCCCTGCTGGCCGCTACCTGCAGCAAGATAGGGCCGCCATCGCCGGGTGACGACGAGGAGGAGGCGGCCGCCGCAGCCGGGGCCCCCGCCGCCGCCGCCGCCGGAGCGGTAAGTCTCGCGCGCGCGGCCCGCCCCCGCCAAGGCCCTGCGCCCGCCATCCCGGGCCTGCGGCGCGCCCGCCAGCCGAAAGGCCTCCCCGGCGCCGCGCCTTCCGCGATACGGACGGATCGCGCAGCCGGGGCGCCCTTTCGGGCTCTTTCGCATGCCCGTGTGGCTCGCAGGCCAGCCCAGGCTTTCTCTAAATTGTCACTGCGGCGCCTCGATCCAAATTGACTACAAAATGAAGTCAGAGAGGGCGGGGGTAGAGGACTCCAAAATGGATGTTTGAGCAATTCATATCAGTGCTGAAAACTCCTTCGCTGAACACTACAAAATTTTCAAGCACAGCCTATCGGCCATAGATAGTATCAACTACAGAGGCAGTGTCTTTAAGTCTTTAGTTTCTAGTATTTTTTGAACCTGGAGCTTTTTCTGCTGGAACTTACTAGAGCTTACTGATTTAAATCGCAAATTGCTAAAAAGAAACCAAAAAAGGAATGAAGGTTTATTCTTTGAATTACCCTTTTGTATGCAGCAGTGAACACTTTGTGAGTGCTTTTTTAATGGCCATTCTAAATTGTTGAATTTTAGTTTTTGCAGACTTAAATTTGCAGGAATTTTTCATAAGTGGAGTAGGTGAAACATTCAATTAGCGGCCGTTGAAATTGGCGAAGTTACTTAGATACTACTTTGGCTTTTGAAATTGAATATGAAATACCAGTGTTAGAAACAAAAGTACATGTAAGGAATTGTATTTATATGCATGCTAACGTATACTGTACTTACAGTTGAATTTGGTTGGCAAAGCTGTATTTTCATTTTATTACGATTATTGGTCTGATAAGGTGTGGGGTTCTGTTTGTGTCTTTAGTTCGGGGGCGGGGGGAGGAGCTGGTCAGTGTGTTGTATGAGGGCTTAATAAAATTAGCTAGGCACAATTTTTAAGACTGTTAATTGTGATTTTTATCTGTTTGAATCGTCGCTGTTGTGTTAAACATGTAGATGGATTCACTTACTAAAATACTAAAAAGCTCTCCCAGTCGTTTTTGGTTTCTTTTGAGGTGGATTATGGGAATTGATTTGTGTAGTGGTATTTTGATTGGTCACTACAGACAAAAAAGTATGATATTTGGCATAGTCTGCAAGAAATTCTTAGTATGTCTAGACACTAAAAGTGAAGCTAATGTTAAGCTGTATTGTTAAATACTGTATTTGTAATTTTAGTGCTTCAAATGACACTGTAGAGGGAGGGATGTGAATAGCTTTAATTTCTTAAAAATATTCTGGGTTTTGTGCTTTTGTAAGCTGATTAAAATGTAAAAGCATAAAATTATGTTTGTGAGAGGCATGGTTACTTCTAAACAAACTATGGATTGGTAAGCCTTTTTATGAATTATCTCTCTAGCCCCACAGTGCCAAAACAAATTGACTGTTTATCTTAAAATACCACTGCACAAGTAAAATTGCAAAGCAGATTGCTGCTTCTTGTCTTTTACAGTATTTTCAATTACAAGGAAAAACTTCTTGTAGCTGCAACTTACCTAGTTTATGTAGCTCACTGATGGGGGAGGGGAGAAGTGAAGGAGGAAGTTATGGGTGAAAAATACGTATATGTACTTGTGTACGTGAATCTCAGCCCTGGCAATAGAACACTGTCTCTGGTCTTATCCTGCTGTGCTCATATAGTTGTAGGGAGGTTGTTTCCATGCCTCTTCAGCTCCTCCTCTCAGCTACCAAATCTCTACTGACATCACATTTCCCGCCAGATGAACATGAACTAGAATCAGTAGGAGCACTTTTCTTTGTATGTTTGGTACGCATGCATAAAATTTTTCACTGAGTAGAATTAGTAAGATTGGCTTGAATATGTTTGCCTTAGCAAGTGGCAAAATTAGTTTTCTAGTTTAAAAGTGAATTTCAGACATGTACATCTCAGAAAATGGAAGAGAATTTAAGTGATTTTTATGGGCATTTTTTTCTATTTAAAAATGTGCTTAGATAATCTTACTGTAATCATTCAATTACTGGGACTCATCAGAGGTCGTAGGGAGCTTTTTTGTAGCTGTGATTTTTTTTAAATTTTATTTTGGAGTAGTTTTATATTTATAGAAAAGTTGCAGAGATAGAACTGAGAGTTACCTTATGCCCTTCACCCAGCTTCCCCTAATGTTAGTATAACCATAGTGCATTTGTCAAAACTAGGAAACTAACAGTAATACAGTATTAACTAAAATACAGACTTTATTCTCATTTCACTTTTTTCCCCCACTAATGCCCAATTTTCTGTCCAGGATCTAATCTAGGGTACCACATTGCATATAGTATTTTTGTGTTTAAAATCAAATAGAAATATACACATAAAATTCAACTTTGTGCTGGTTTAGTTTAGTATTTTAAGATTAAAAGGGCATTGAAAAGCCAGTCAGCTGCACTGGAGATTTGTTTTAAGAGTTTTGAATTTAGAATTTGTTATATTATGATATGGGTTCTTTCTGGATCCTGGCCAAGAATGGTTATTCCCAGTGCAGTGCTGAATAGGTCTAATCATAAACCATTCTCACCTATAATGTCCCACAGCATGGACTCCCAAAGTTGGTTTGATGGCAGGTCTCTTTTTTGTACTTTATTATTAGAAGTTGTATAGTTAATTTTAGTAATAAACCAGGAAATACAAGATGTAGATCTTCATGCAATATAAGTTTGTCCAATCTGTATTGATTTGAGTTTCTGGGTTATTAATTTGCTTAGTCCATTTGTACTTTAGTTTAAATTGTAATCAGTTAATTGGGTAATTGTTTTTATTTGAAATTGGTTTTGAGTTCTTCAGTGTTCCTTGAAGATTTTAAGAAACTTGAGTATTTGCCTAAGAGTGGTTCTTAGTTTGTTTCCACCTTAGCTTCATACTTGTTTTTGTTTCCAGTAACACTCTGCCCTTGCCTGTTTCTGGCTTTCAAAAAGCCATTTGTGGGAACTGAGAAGTTAATAATCCTTTCCGATTGCTATGCAATAAGTGGTATGAATTTTTCTTTTTTCCTTTCCACAGGTATTATCTGAGAAGATAGCCTCTTTTTTTTTTCCCATTCAACTGCCCCTCCCCCCCTCCATGCCTGGTTGCACTGGAGAATGCCCTTGTAATGAATTGCTATAGCAACGTCCCAGGGCTACTCTTGGTTTTGGTCCTTTTTACCTTGTGATTTTGTGTTTATGTACAGAGGGAGACTTAAGAGTACCTTCAGTTACAACTTTTTACAATAATGCCAACTTCCATGTCAGATGGTGTCTTGTTAGTTGTCTAAAAAGAATATTAGAATTACTGAGAGAACACTGGTAGATTTTTCTTGAGGGTTATCTGAACCAAATACTAGTTCTTGCCTGGGTTACGTGTTTTTATGTCTCTCTTCTTTTGTTTCTATAGTGTTTCCAATAGCCTAACATCAAACATTTTTACAACTGTTCTTTGGTCTCAGATGATTTTCTAATTCATATTTTTTCGTGGTGTACTGCTGATAAAATTTCTCTTACAAATGAATGGGCTTCGTAAAGGTTCTGTAGTTTGGAAATTTGGGGGGCTTATTGTGGAATTATGGAAATAAATAGGTTTAAAATTGGTGTAGTTTTTCATAGAAGACTAATTATCTCAAGGTCAGTTTTATTGATCAGTTCAATCATTTTCTTTGCAATGATTTTAAAGTAAATACTTTTAACTATTCAATAAATATTTACTGATCTTTATGCTAGGAATTGTACTAGACATTCAGATCATCCTCTGTCCTCATAATCTTACTAATCATAATGTTACCTTAGGATTGTATAGTGCTTTATAGTTTGTAAAGCATAACACTTTCTTTTGGTTCTTATGACCCCACAAGGTAATAATTTTCCCATTTTTAACATAAAATTGAGTCCTGTTCTAAATCACACACAATTCCACAATTCTAGCTTAGGACTAGAAGTCAGTTCTGAGTTCTTTCCTTTCTAGTGTAATGTACTCCCCTCCCCCAAGCATAATGGTAGCTTAAAAATCATGAAGGTCTAATAGTTTTCTGACTCCGTGTTTTCTCTCCAATTCCATTAAAACATTTAATACTTAGTAAATTTTTTAAAGCATAAATTTATTTCATTTAAAAGATCCTTTTTGTTGCCTTTTTTCTTAAATTATTTGTTGCTGGTTTTCTTCCCTCTGGGTTTGTGCTTCATAAATATTTCTTGTATATCCATTTCACCTTAGGTTTATTCAGAAAAGTTCAAATACATCATGCTGTCTTAGGTTTGGGGATTTCCCTTCAATTAATGGCCTGCATTGTTGGGAAAAGTGGTACCACGGTTTATTTTTATTTAACTTCTGGAGAGGGGTCCTTGGGTAGTACTTACTCAGATTTGTCATTTGAGTAGCTGTATTTATTTTCACAGAATTTCTTGACTAAAAAGCTGTTCACTGATGGTTGAAAATCTGTCCTTACTACAATTTTGTAAAAAGTAATACTTAAGATGCCACAAATTTGACATTTTTTTAAGGATGAAAAAGGACAAAATGCCAGTATTGTAAAATAATCTGTACCTGAGATACTGTATTCTTTGGTATAAGTTGAATAATTGTAAATTTAATGCTGGTCAAAAAAAAAAATTCAACAGTCAATTCTCCAGAGGTAAACAACAACCTTAGAAAAATAAAGATTGGATTTTAGACATTATATTTTAGTGTAGATTTCAGTATGAAGTATAGATGTAAATATCTTTATTTAAAATGCCAAGAGACTGAAATGAAACATGAATTATTGCTCTGATATTGGGAAAGATGACTTAGGCTTGTAATTCCTGTACCAGATAGAAGTTGAAGAATGACATGGAACTTTAATGACTGGTCTTTATTTTAGTAATTTAAGTTTGATAAATTTAAATGTTTGTATTTAAAAGATGATTATTTTAGTTCAAGACTATACATTTGTCCTGGGTTCCACATTTTATCTGTCTTTAGTCTCTTCCGGCTTTCTTTCAGTCTCCTTCATTGGCTCTTAGTTATCTTTATAAAACACAGACCTGATTGTACCACTCACTTGCTTAAAAACCTTTTATAGCTTTCATTTACTATCTGTAGGATGAAGTCCAAACTCCTTAGCAGGATCTACAAAGCCATTAACTACAGGCCTTGATAAAAATGTCTAGTCTTGTTCCCCATTACTTTTCTCTGTGAATATGAGCCTTTTCTGGATCCTCTCTTGAACTCCAAACTACACATTCTTTAGAGTTTCCTTTTGTCTGTGGCTGTTGTTTTATACCTTTATGAATACCTCTGTCTCTCTTTTGTAGCTGCCTATGGTGAAGTCATAAATTTTATTCTAAGATTACTTAAAATATCTCTTGTGTGAGATCTTTTTTTTTTCCCCCATCTTCTATGTTCCCAAAAAGCGTTTTGATCATATGGCTGGTGCACACCACTATTCACATAGTAGTAGCATGTATGTGTATGTCTGCTTGGATAAATTGGGAACCATTTGAAACAGATTGTTTATTTCATGAGCTTACTCATATGCTTATTTCAACTTGGCCGATATGCTCAAATCTCTTGAATCATTAAACTGTGGTTCATCCATTGAAGTAATGCTTTTCAACTACGCATCTGTGTGAAAATTAGGTAGTTTTTTAAGAAACTCTTAAAATCTTCTGGTTCTATAATGGTTGTATTAAATTTTGTGGAATGGTTCATACTGAGAGAACAGTGTATGTCTTCACCTTTTTGTGTGGTCATATACCTCCTTTGAGAATATGATGAAACCCTAGATTATCCCTTTGTCTCCCAATTGCACTTTCTCAAAAAGTTGCTATGTTCATTTAGAGGATTCATAGATCCCTTGAAGCCCAGGTGTGGGTCCTGCGTTGAGAATGCTGGGCTAGATACACTTACGTTTTCATTGTCTGGTGATACACAGAGTCACAGGAAATTGCATATAGATCTAGAGGGAAGTGGCATAGGAATGGCTTTATTTTGAGGGTGAGTAATTCATATAGGATCTCATTCCCCATTATCTTTACCCTTGGTCTTAGTGGGAGACAAACTTAGTATAGAATTAAAGGCCTGGCTTCTGCAGTTAGACTTGGCCTAGTTTTAAAAATCCTGTCTTGGCCATTTGAGACCTGTGTGATTTTTGTTTCTCACTTATTGCATTTATGAAATGAGGATAGTGATAACACCTACCTTACAGGATTGTTGTAAGGAGTAGATGATATAATCTTATAAATCATTATCATAGTACTTGGCATTAAGAGAATGGCTCCAGTGTGAGACATTACTTTATTCCCTCAAAAAATGTTATTCTTTGACATTGATGTATAAGATTTTATTGCTTTCTGCTTTCCTTTGTTGGTATTTTTCCAGTGTTGCCTAATCCATAAAATATGAGGATGATAACTGAGAATTCTATCACATCACAGAATGCACAACGGATATGTCTTACTGCAAACATAAATAGAGTAGTAGGTAAAACCATCGTCTATATCCTCCAGCTTTTAGAGTCTAGGAAAACCTTTCAGATGGAGTGACTTTGCCATGTGGTCACAGGGCAATAATCTTAACTCATTAAAAAATTTTAAGGTCTCTTTTTTTTTTCTTGGTAGTTCGTGGGAAAAGTAAAGAATTTGATGGCTTGCTAATGGAATAGCCTTAGCCAAGAAGTTTACTCTGGAGGACATTAATGTATGCCATAAAAGAGTAGCCTTAATAGTTTGACTTAAGGTTTACAGCAACAATATACAAATCTTAACTTCTCTAACTCAGATGACTTGATAACACTGTACTGGTTATGTTTGTTTTTTGTATACAAATATAATGTACCTAATTAGTGATATATATTTTTAGTAGGTTATATGTATTTTTTTTAACTCTTCAGTGTTTGAGATCTTTGGTTTGAGCTGTCCATCATCTTTCCTAGCCACTTAACTTCTATTGATTTAACTGTATGGATTAGAGATCATAGGTGAGGAATTAGAAGACCAGTTCGTAAAACAAAGATTACTCTGAAGTTTTTTTCCTGTTTAAATAGCATGGGTTATCTTTGCAGTAACTAACAAAATTGGAAATAATAATTATTGTGGTTTATATAGTACTGCTTCAGTATTTGAAGTCTGCTGTGTTATTAAGAGAACTTTTAATTTCAGGTAGTAGAATTCTGTCAGTTCTTAGATTTTTTTGAGGACTGGTTTAAATATGCCACAAATATATATCACATAACATTTTTTGTTTTCTTTATCCAGACAGGTGATTTGGCTTCTGCACAGTTAGGAGGAGCACCAAACCGATGGGAGGTTTTGTCAGCCACACCTACAACTATAAAAGATGAAGCTGGTAATCTAGTACAGATTCCAAGTGCGGCTACTTCGAGTGGGCAGTATGTCCTTCCCCTTCAGAATTTGCAGAATCAACAAATATTTTCAGTTGCACCAGGATCAGATTCGTCAAATGGTACAGTGTCCAATGTTCAGTATCAAGTAATACCACAGATTCAGTCAACAGATGGTCAGCAGGTTCAGATTGGTTTCACAGGCTCTTCAGATAATGGGGGTATAAATCAAGAAAGTGGCCAAATTCAGATCATTCCTGGCTCTAATCAAACCTTGCTTGCCTCTGGAACACCTCCTGCTAATATCCAGAATCTCATACCACAGACTGGTCAAGTCCAGGTTCAGGGAGTTGCAATTGGTGGTTCATCTTTTCCTGGCCAAACCCAAGTAGTTGCTAATGTGCCTCTTGGTCTGCCAGGAAATATTACCTTTGTACCAATCAATAGTGTCGATCTAGATTCTTTGGGACTCTCGGGCAGTTCTCAGACAATGACTGCAGGCATTAATGCCGATGGACATTTGATAAACACAGGACAAGCTATGGATAGTTCAGACAATTCAGAAAGGACTGGTGAGCGGGTTTCTCCTGATATTAATGAAACTAATACTGATACAGATTTATTTGTGCCAACATCATCTTCATCACAGTTGCCTGTTACTATAGATAGTACAGGTATATTACAACAAAACACAAATAGCTTGACTGCTTCTAGTGGGCAAGTCCATTCTTCAGATCTTCAGGGAAATTATATCCAGTCGCCTGTTTCTGAAGAGACACAGGCTCAGAATATTCAGGTTTCTACAGCACAGCCTGTTGTACAACATCTACAACTTCCAGAGTCTCAGCAGCCAACCAGTCAAGCCCAAATTGTGCAAGGCATTACACCACAGACAATCCATGGTGTGCAAGCCAGTGGTCAGAATATATCACAACAGGCTTTGCAAAATCTTCAGTTGCAGCTGAATCCTGGAACCTTTTTAATTCAGGCACAGACAGTGACCCCTTCTGGACAGATAACTTGGCAAACATTTCAAGTACAAGGGGTCCAGAACTTGCAGAATTTGCAAATACAGAATACTGCTGCCCAACAAATAACTTTGACGCCTGTTCAGACACTCACGCTTGGTCAAGTTGCAGCAGGTGGAGCCTTGACTTCAACTCCAGTTAGTCTAAGCACTGGTCAGTTGCCAAATCTACAGACAGTTACAGTGAACTCTATAGATTCTACTGGTATACAGCTACACCCAGGAGAGAATGCTGACAGTCCTGCAGGTGAGTCTTAAGTCTTGTCATGCCATAGATAAGTGATTTGTTGACATGCAGGGATATTTTTTGCTTTAAGGTGTTTTCTATATCTGTCTATCTTTAAAGGTGATGATACATTTCCCTTTGTTTGTATGAAAAGTAGACATCAAGGTGTCTTCCAGATTGTTCTTGAAAGTTTTGAAGTCAAGGATTCATTTCTTCATTATGCCATAAATTACGTTTGTAGTTTTCCTTTAATTTTATATCTGTTTTCACATCTGATTGGTATTGTCAAGCATTACAAAATTTTTTTTGGCAGGTGAGGTGTCTTGGTTGTGCTTCTTGTGATGTAAATTAAATATTTTTGCATTATATTTGTCTGGGGAATCAGGTTGTCATGGTGAAAACGTGGCACTGGGAGCCAAGACCATTTATGTTGTCTCACCCACTAGCTAACTGTGTGATTGTGGCTAGATTGTTTTCTCTTGCAAACTCGGTTGTCTCATTATATAAAATGGGGTTATTGGACTAGGTAACTAAATCCTAGGGTACCTTCCAGACTGAAAATTCTTTGAATCTGTGATAGTTTATTCTTTCAAGTGTGTAGTGAGCATTAAATTTAACTGTGCTAGATATATTGTTATTGATAGTATGGGTAGAAATTTCAGAAGTCTACTCTTCCAGTGTTGGCAGAAATTAAAAATACAGTTTAAAAGAGATGGTATCGTCATTACCTTAATGTTCATTTAGATGACATGTTATTGAATGTTTTGTTGTGCACTAAATCCTTAGTTTTACACTTCTCCTTTGTATTTGGGTTCTTGTGGTGACTACTACTATTACAACCTTCCACTTGAGTCAGATTCCAAACTCTTACATTAGGACACTTGAATTTGATTTATTGAAATAATTCCTATCACAATAGAGATTACCTTTTTTCTTTGGAGAAATTTGTCGTCTATACTTAGAAAATTGGAATTGTTCTAAAGCCTCAGATCTGTACTTGGCAAGCCTTTAATTGTATTTGAGCCTTCTGAAGCAATGGTTTAGAGCACCCATTATCAAAGCATGGTCTGTGGACCCCTGGGGGATCCCTGAGACCCTCTCAGAGGTCCTTGATGTCAGATTACTTTTCTTAATACTATAGTTACTTGCCTTTTTCGTTGTGTTTACGTTTTTTTTTTTTTTTTTTTTAAGATTTCATTTATTTCACAGAGAGAGACACGGTGAGAGAGGGAACACAGCAGGGGGGGTGGGAGAGGGAGAAGCAGGCTTCCCACTGAGCAGGGAGCCCGATGTGGGGCTCGATCCCAGGACTCTGGGATCATGAGCTGAGCTGAAGGCAGACGCTTAATGACTGAGCCACCCAGGCGCCCCTCATTGTGTTTACATTTTCACAAAATGGCTTGTGTCTTAGCAAAAATGAAATTAGTGGCACCAAACTGTACTACTAGTTGTTGTATTCTTCATGATCATGTACTTGCAGTTAAAGAAAAATGCACTTTTCACTCAAGAATGATCTTGATGAACCAGTCAAAATAGTTATTTTTACTAAATCTCGACCCTTGAGTGCTGTATTTCCTTTTTTAAAAGATAGCTTTACTGAAATATAATTCACATACCGTAAAATTCACTCTTTGAAGTATATAATTCAGTGGTTTTTATGTAGTCACAGACTTGTACAACCATCACCACTATCTAATTTTAGAGTGTTTTCACCAAAAAACCCATGCCCATCAACAGTTAACTCCTCATTTCCTCCCTCCCCTTAGCCCCTGGCAACCACTAATCTACTTCCTGTCTCTCTGGATTTGCCTATTCTGAATTTGCCTGTTATTTCGTATCAGTGGAATAACACATTTTGTGGATTTTTGTATCTACTTCTTTCATTTAGTATATTTTCAAGGTTCATCTGTATTGTAGCCTGTGTCAGTATTTCATTCCTTTTTTGTGGCTGAATAATATTCCACAGTAAGGTAAATGAATAGACTGCAGTATATATCCAGTTGAGGGACAGTGTTTCTACTTTCTGGCTATTATGAATAATGCTGCTATGAACATTTGTGGACAGTTTTTGTGTGGACATGTTTTTGTTTCTTTTGAGTATATACAAAAGAGTGGAATTGCTTGGTTGTATGCTAACTGTTCATGTTTTGAGGGACTGCCAAACTTTTTCTAAAGGGACTACACCACTGAGTGTTCCAATTTCTCTACATTCCTACCAACATTTACAATGGTCTTTATTTTTGATCATGGCCATCCTGATATCCTAATGGGTGTGAAGTGGTATCTCATTCTATTTTTAATTTGCTCTTCTTGCTGCTTGTCTTTGTAGTATTCATTGTGATAAAATGGGAAGTATGCTTTAACAAAGCATTTCTGCTGTATACCAAAATAAGGTGATTGTCTTAAAAAATTTTTTTTTTGATTGTGCAGTTGTAGGAGTTGCAAGGTGAATTATATGCTATTTTCATAAAAGATTGTTTTTTCTTGAACAACTGACAAACTATGGTTATTGAGAGATTCATGTATTTAAGAGCAAATATTTTCTTAAAAAAAAAAAAAGAATTAAGTGAGCTGGTTAATTAAAGGAAAAAAGCCTGACGGTATTTGCTACCAATGATAAAATTTGGGTTTTCCAGTGAAAATTAGAATTTTGTAAAACTCGAAACTACTACTATGAATTTGATAGCTTTACTAATAAAATACTTTTCTGATGAGATGGAGAGTGATATTAATAAATGGGATTTTTTTGGGGTTACTGTATTATAAAGAAATGTGCCAACATTTGGAGGACCTATACGATAACTCCGTGAACCAGTAGTTGTCAGATATCAATTCATGTTACAAAATCATGCAGGGGTAAAAAGATCCATTCAGAGTTTGAGATAGACCAATCACAAGTGTGTAGAAAGTTTGTCAATATGGTTTCAGGTTTTACAGTACAACTGACCTATAAGAAACTGCCACTTGTCAAGTTTGGTATATAGTATCAAAGAATGCTGAAAGGCAATCAAATTACTCCTCCTTTTCCAGCCACGTATCTTTGTAAGACTGGATATTCAGTCTGTGCTTCACTCCAGACTACATGCTGCCAACAGAATGCAGAGGCAAAATATGAGACTCTAGTTGTTTTCTTTTAACCTAGGCATTTTTTAAGAGTTTTGCAAAAATGTAAAACATGGTCTTCTCATTAAGCTTTTGTTTATATTTTTGGACAATAGTAGTTTTTCATAAAATGTTTAATTTGTGTTAACATGTAATGGATTTATTATTCTTAAAACAGAAAATCATAGTTTCTCATAATTTTTTTTTTTTTTTTTTTTTTTTAGATTTTATTGATTTATTTGACAGAGAGAGAGAGAGACAGCGAGAGAGGGAACACAAGCAGGGGGAGTGGGAGGAGAAGCAGGCTTCCCCCGGAGCAGGGAGCCTGATGTGGGGCTCGATCCCAGGACCCTGGGATCATGACCTGAGCTGAAGGCAGATGCTTAGTGATTGAGCCACCCATTAAAATATATAATCTACATGAACAAAAGTGTTTGGAGACCTCAGTAATATTTAAGAGTTTAGAAGGAGTTCTGAGACCAAAAAGTTTCAGAATGCTGATAGAATGACAGACTCCTAAAGATACAGCTGGTAGTTTTTAGAAACCAATTAAAGTTTGAGCAAAATTAAAGGTTGTAGAGATCTATACATGTTAAAAAAATCCTAGGAGATTAATTTGTGATTTTGTGGATTTATGAAGTAGATTGTTACAGAGTACTAAATATTTCAGTACAGTGGTTTATTTCTAAAATACTATCAGAATAGCAACGTTGTATGAATTAGATACAAGATGGACTTTTTATTCTCAAATTTTACTTTACAAATTTAACTTAGTTTTGTTTTATGTTTTAGAAAGAGATCAGGGGTGGGGCAGAGGGGGAGAGAGAGAATCTTAAGCAGGCTCCACATCCAGTGCAGAGCCAAGGCGGGGCTCGATCTCATGACCCTGAGATCATGACCTGAGCTGAAATCAAGAATGAGCTGAAATCAAGAATCTGATGCTTAACCGACTGAGCCACCCAGGCGCCCCTAAAATGGACTTTTTAAAGTGGTAATTTAGTTTATTGAATGGTGACAAGGAAGGGTAAAATAAGGAAGTACTCCAGAACGCCATTAAATGCGAATTTTGTCCCAGTTTTAAAGAAATAGGGAAAAAATTTGAGAAAATAAAAGTTAAAAGAATGAGAATAAATGCTGCGTAGTATACAGTGGCATATTTAGTAATGGAACCTGGAAATTTTAATTTTGGGAAGATTTGGTAAGAGGAAAATGCCCCTTGGTGTACTGTCTTTTTAATTGGCAAGAAGCCAGATAAATTATTTTAGGATGTGTTTTACCTGAAACTAAGAATAAAGTTTTTTTTGTCTGTGTTAGAGCATAGTATGCGCAGAGGAAATGCTTAAAACTTTTCATCTTTGGTTTGAATTTTTGTATTTGATAAGTATGGAAATAATATAATTTTCACAATGAATGAGAAGACACAGATTCTTTTACTGGGACTCTGGAATTTCTTTGACTTTTTGTTTTTCTTAAGCTCCCCTTTAACAAAAATGACCTCTACTTCAGAGGCAGTTTTAAACTGTTCAAGGCAGTGAGTCTGACTCTGGACCCCTCCTCGTGATGGGTATGTTTAGTGCCTCTTACCCCTTAGAAACCAGATCCCCATTTTCCTTGGAAGGTAGAGCAGCTCATCATGCCCCAAGCTCCAACCCCACTCACTGTTAATATTTGTTTCTTTTTCACTGAGAAAATGCATGTTGATTTGATTTAGAGAACTTCTGTTTTTGAAGTTTTACTTTGTCTACCATTGCTGTGTATTTGAAAATGGGTGGGAAGAGACAAAGTATGGATTTATATATCTTTCCAAAGTTTTTTCTAGTCAGAAAATTTCCCCAAAGTTCAAACCAAGACTTATTCAGTCTCTCAAATTTTAGTTCTTTACCAGATTTTGTTCTATATGAATACAAATTTATTCTTTA